AAAGACTTTGCGATTTATTGCGCAACTCTGATTTTACAGTAAGGTGGGGTGTTACATCACCACTCGTCGGGAGCACATGACTATGTGGAGTATACAAAAATGATTTCATGCTTTATAGTTGATTAGGATGATAACATAGAGGGATCTCTCACGGAGTAAGTGGAAATGCTCACCCCATTTGTTTTCCACACCCAGGTTTTGGCGAGCTGGCAATGGAGCGATGGCGAGGGTGGTCACATGTTTTAATGTTTATGATATTCATGTTTTAAAAGCTTCAGCTATGCAAAGTTTATTTTATGAAATAAGTCATGGTTCATGCAAGTCAAGTTAAAGTGTAAGTTCTCAATGCCATGTTCCACGTTCATGTTCAGGAAAAGTTCACGTATGAAATGTTTATGTTCATGAAAAGTTTTATGGTTATGAAAGGATTATGTATGAACGTTTTTCAAAGTAAGTAGCACCCTGAGTTCCAAGTAAAGTTTTCAAAAGTTTTATAAAAAGAAAAATTTATTCTAGAAATTCAATGTATGAAAAGCGGGGTGTTACAGTTTGGTATCAGAGCCCAAGTTTTGTGGTTCTGTAGACTCGTAAAAATATTTTAAAATATTTTCAAGGAATTGACCACTCGCCACCGTCGCACCATGCCAACTCTGAGATAAGTTATTTTAGTTAAGTTATTATTACGTGCATAATAGAATATCATGAGTTGGGGCTTAAGATTCTACCCATGGATGGATTCAAACTCTAGAGATGATCAAACATAGTGAGCTTAGAAGCAAATGATTAACTCTAGTATCTTCCAGAAATGGCAAGAAGAAATCAAAATGTGGTGCCACCGGCCACCGGCATGGATCAGGCTAAGATGATGGGACATTTCCGAAAGACGGATCCGCCAATCTTCACTGGAAAAGAAGGACCGGCAGATGTAGATGAGTGGTTCATGACAATGGAAGATATCATTGAGGTGTTGGGTTGCACAAATGAGCAGAAGATAACATGCGGTCAATACCAGCTGAAAGAGGACGCTAAGAGGTGGTGGACCACCTATTGGAGGACGAAGCCGGTAGACGAGCGCATGAATTTGACCTGGGAGAGGTTCAAGGAGATCATGGAAGAAAAGTACTATCCCCAACACTATCGCGAGCAGCTGGAGAGCGAGTTCTGGAACTTAACTCAAGGGAGCCTAATTGTGGATGAGTATGAGAGGGAGTTCACTAGGCTAAGCTATTTCGTGGAGCACTTAGTGGATACGGATGATAAAAGGGCGAATAAGTTTAGAAGGAGTTTAAAACCTACCATCCGATACCTAGTGGCGAGCCATGGAGACCTTCCCTATGCAGAAACTGTGGGTAGGGCGCTACAAATTGAGGAAAGTATCAAGCTAGAAAAGGAAGCTACTTTGGCCATGGAGGCTCAAGCTTCGGGTAGCAACAAGAAGAGGAAATTCGAACACCCGAAGAAGAAGGAAGAAGGTGGCCAAGCTCTCCAACCCCGACCACTGCAGCAAGTGCCCGCCGTGGATAGACAGGAATGCCATAACTGTGGCAAGAAGAACCGTGGAGAGTGTCTGTTGGGGCAAAACGTATGCTTTCGTTGAAAGAAGCCTGGGCACTTGAGGGTAAATTGTCCAGGAATCGATCAACCGCCACCACCACCACAGCAGAACTTGCCTCCGGCAAGACAGGGGAGGCTTGGAGAAAGAGCTCCAGTGAGGGTCTACACCTTGGCTCATTATGAGGAAGAAATGAAGAGGGAGCCGAAATAATTGTCTTTTACTATTTGAATTGTTTTGATTTCTACATTGGATTTTTAAACTAGTACTTTTGTTGCATGGGATATTGTTTTATTTCATTTTCGCATTGATTGGATTATTAGATTTTGGGACAATATATATATATATATATATATATATATATATATATATTTTTTGTGTGATCATGATCATTGTTTAAATGTTCTATGTAAGCATGCATGTAATGTCGTTATGTCAATTAGATAACGATCATCCGAGCCATGCAAACTATTCTAGGACCAGGTTGTCGCACGTCCCGAAAGATCAGTGAGTTCCGACAGTACGACTACGATTCCCAGAAAACCGTTGGAACGAACGTCCAAGAGATATTCGAGTTATGGGAAGGTGCAAGAAAAATGGGAAAGGATAGGAAGATCAAGAAAGATGCACTGTCCCATTGGGATTGCTGCAAGAAGCTACTCACCTTGTTGCCACTGGAGTGGAAGGCCGATGTCAATAGACTCTATATCGAGCTATTGATTGAAGGTATGGGAGATGGAAATCGAAAGAAGGAGGATGTGTTCAGCTTTTACGACTTAGTTCTGAAAGTAGGCAACTTGTGGGAAGAAAGAGAAATCCCACTGGAGACCGGATTGGAGACCACCGAAGAAGACCCAACTGAAGAGGAGCCAGCTGAGGAGGAGCTTGGCTCGAATGGAAGTGTTGGAAGTAGTTACTAGGCTAAGCTGTTTATTTGTTGATGAACTCTAGAAATAAGAACTTTTTCCGGGGACGGAAAATTTTTAAGAAGGGTAGATTATAACACCCCAAACTCATGTCATTCATTTTATGCTTAAGTATTATTTTTCATGGATATTATTTATGTTTAATTTAATGATTTATAAATTTATTTTTATTTTTATTGTTTTTATTTTTATTGTAAGCTCGATTTTATGTGATAATTAAGTGAGTGTCCACACTCATTTATTTATCAAGTTAATGATTTTTTTTTTTTTTTTCGGAACGATAGAGGAATTATATATAAGCCAAAATGAACAACGTTCGAATACAGACGAGGCAACCTGCCCAATAAACCTAGAAAAGAAGACTAAAATGAGAGGACACACCTTAAGGTGGCCTAGATACAACTCAAACTCAACAACTGAAAGAGAGAAAAATAACAGACCACTGCTCAAAGCCTAGTCCACTATCCCACTCCAAACTCAAACAAAACAAACTAAGAAAGAACACTGAACAAACCAAAGAAAACAAAGGCTAAAAACCAACACCAAACAGAACCAAATTAAGATTGCAAAGTTTTCAGATCACTGAACTCCATCCAAGCAAGATGAGCTTTGCTGACCACCACATGGATTGGCAGTTTGATTCCTTCAAAGATCCAGAGATTTCTGGATTTCCACAACCACCACAGCAGGTAGGTTGTGAGCTTAATCCTCTCCTCAGTTACCTTAGTCTTGTTGATAGAGCATAAGTGCCACCACCATGATCTAAAAAGACCCCCTTCAGAGTCCACTTCTTCCCATTTAACTGGACTTAGTTTCCACATCAGTTGTGCTCTAGCACAATGGAAGAAAATATGTTCAATGGTCTCTGGAGCACAACCACAACCACTGCATACCACATCAATGTCAATTCCTTTCTGGGCCAGTTTAACTTTCACAGGTAGAGTGCCAGAAACACACTTCCAGATGAAGTGCTTTATTGTTTTCTTGATTTTCAAATTCCAAGTCCTGATCCTAGCTTTTTTAATGCAAGAGAGATTCCTGCTGCTACCTGGAATATCAAAGTGAAGAATTTTCTGTTTGATCAAGAAATCATAAGTTGAAGAGACAGAGAAGTGACCCTTCTTTTCTAAGCACCAGAAAATCCTGTCCTTTTTAGATGGGTTCAAAGTATGGATATCCAGAATTGCTCTGCTGTCAGCTTCACCAAAGAGTTGGTTCACCAACCATGAGTTCCATCTGAGTCCATTGTCCTGTATCAGCTCCTTGACCCATGTGATGTGACCTTGTGCAATGCTCAGAAGAGAAGGCTTGGTAAGGGGACTGCTTGGGATCCAGTTAATGTCATTGATTCTAGTAGATGCCCCATCATTAATTTCAGTTCTCATACCTTGAGCAAGAATAGGCAGGCAATCTATCCATGAGTTCCAGATCCAGGAGCCATTTTGAGTTTTAGAAATGTCAAATATAGAGCAGTTTGGGAAATATCTGCTCTTGAGAACCTGGCTCACAAGCAAGTTAGGCTGAGTCACCACCCTCCAGAGTTGTTTACAAATGAGGGCTTTATTGAAAGAACTGATGTCTTTGAAGCCTATGCCCCCATCTGATTTTGGAATTGAGAGAAGATGCCAAGCTTTCCAGTGCAGTCCAACCTCTTGTGTATCCCCTTTACTCCACCAGTAGTTTGCACTCAGTCTAGAAATGTCTTTGCATACAGAAGTTGGCAGTTTAAAACAGGACATTGTAAACACTGGTAAAGCATTGATGACAGCCTTAATTAATACCTCCTTGCCAGCAACTGAGATCATCTTATTCTTCCAACTCCACAGTTTAGCTTTTACTGAGTCTAAGACATAAGAGAACACTTCTGATTTTGATCTGCCAATCCCCAGAGGAAGGCCCAGATATCTGGTAGATGAATGCAGTTGAATACCAGCCATAATAGCACACACTTGATTCTGAGCAGTAAGAGAGGTGTTTTTACTGAAAAATGCAGATGACTTTTGGATGTTCACTCTTTGGCCTGTAAATAACCTGTACCTCTCCAACAAGTTCATCAATTCCTGAGCTTGATTAGTTTCAGCTTTGCAAAAGAACAAGGCATCATCTGCAAAGAGCATGTGAGATAATGCTGGGCCATTCTGAGACAATTTAATTCCAGTAAGAGCTCCTCTTGCCAATGAATCAGAGATAAGAGCAGAGAGTAACTCTGTGACAATAATGAATATGAAGGGGGATAAAGGATCCCCCTGTCTGATTCCTCTTGAAGGAGAGATAGCACCAGTCAAAGATCCATTCACAACAAAAGATAGAGAGGTGGTAGTAATACATACCATGATAAGCTTGACCAGCTCCAAACTAAAGCCCATTCTGATCATAATTTTTCAATGCAGATCCACTCAACTCTATCAAATGCTTTCATGAGATCCAGCTTTAAAGCCATAAAGAAATTCTTTCCAGATCTGTGTCTGTTGAGAAAATGAAAGACTTCCTGTGCCAATATCACATTGTCTAGAAGTTGCCTGTCCTGAATAAAGGCAGATTGACTTGGACTAATACAAGCAGACAAGCAGCATTTGAGTCTAGAGGCCAACAGTTTGGATAGCACTTTATAGACCACAGTACAAAGAGAGATAGGTCTGAACTGATTAAGAGATGTGGGGGCATTACATTTAGGCACTAGAGAGATTATAGTATGGTTCCAGTATTGTAAGAGCATACCAGAGTTGAAGAAGCTTTGGACTGCTTCAATGAGATCCCCTTGAATTAGGTTCCAGAAGTGCTGGTAGAAGTATGCTGTCATGCCATCCTCACCTGGGGATTTGTCAGGGTGAAGACTGAATAATGCTGCCTTAATTTCATCTTCTTCAACCGGTTTAAGGAGCTCTTGGTTCATTTCCACTGAGATTGATTGAGGAATGAGGTGCAACATGGAATCTCCCCCCCAAGAACCTTCTGAAGAGAACAATGAAGAATAGTAAGTGGTAATGTGATTTTCAATATCCCTTCTAGAAGAGCAGACTCTGTTAGCATCAGTGATAAGTCTTGTGATTGCATTCTGCCTTCTTCTGGACATAGAATAAGCATGAAAGAATTTAGTGTTAGAGTCTCCCTCCTTTAGCCACTGTACTCTTGCTTTCTGAGCCCAGAATTTCTCCTCATAGGTATAAGCATCCTTAAGTTCTTTTGAAACTGATTCCCATTCCTCCCAGTTATCTGCTCTACCAGCTTCTCTGATTTCCTCAAGTTTATTTGAAAGAGCAGCAATCTTTTCTTGGTTTTGAGATTTGAATTTTGAGCTCCATATGAGAAGAGCAATTCTTGTCTGCTTGACTTTTTCTTTGAGTCTGAAAAAAGGTGTGCCAGACTGAGGAATGGACCAGGCTTTCTGCACTACCTCAGCAAATCCTTCTTTAGAAATCCATCTTCTATCAAAGGCAAATCTCCTCTTACATCTAGATTCTTGAGAACCAGCATTAAGAATAAGGAGAGAGTGATCTGAGGCTGTTCTTATCACATTAAGCACTTTAGCATTGGGGTGTGAACTGAGCCATTCAAAAGAAGCAAATGCTCTGTCTAGCTTCTCTTCAACATATCCCTCAGTATCTCTGTTGTTCCCCCATGTAAACTGGTGTCCTTCCATACCAATCTCTTCCATTTCCATGTTGGAGATGAATTTGTTAAAGCCATCAAAACTTCTATCTTTTCTGGGTCTTCCCCCTTTTTTTTCCTCCTTGGCACAGATAGAGTTCCAATCTCCTATAGAGAACCACACTTCACCCCAAGAGTGTCTATCTTCTTCCAAAATCATCCACTGAGCTTCCCTGGTTCTTTTATCAGTACTCATATAAACAAATACACCCCAGCCTTGATCCTCATGATTCAGAGAGTAGTTAACAGCAATGTAAAAATCCTTAGAAACCACATTGATAATATTCACATCCTGATGCCAGAGTAATAGAAGTCCACCACTTTGCCCTCTAGGATCCACAATATAGTGTCTGTCTGTAAATCCCAGCTTCCTACTAACAGACTTAACATAAGTTCCATTATTTTTAGTTTCAGAGAGAAAGAAAAACAATGGGTGGTGAGTCCTAAAAGACTCTTTGATTTGGGAAATTGTAGAGGGCCCACCCAGCCCTCTACAATTCCACACCGCAGCTAGCATTGATGGGTTGGGTGCCATTCTAGGCTGGCATCCCCCACCTTGTTGATTGAGCCTTTCATCTTCTTCCCAGACTGTTCTGTGTCCTCTACTTCCAGAGAGTTAAGATCATCTCTGTCTCTTTTTGAACCTGAGGATTGCTCAGGAGAGGGACTTAGTATCATTTGTCTTTGCAGCCTCCCTTCCTTAGTTGCAGACCTTTTCCAGGAACTCATTCTAGTCACAATATTACCTTTCTGCATTGAAGTAATCTTCTGAGAAGTTATGTTTGAAATGGAAGGGAGGGTGAGTTCAATCTCCATTAGCTTATCTTTTTCTTGGATAGGAGTAGCAGAGTTCACTATCTCCATGGAGTGCTGTTGATTCGAAGTGGCCAGATCAGATAATACCAATTGAGTTGAAGGATGCAGTTCAGGAACCTTTGAGGATGAGTCTACTGTATCTTGTGGGCATGTCTCCTGTAAACTTTTCATGGCTGTTATGGGAATAGGGCTTTCTGGGATTTGCCCAGTTGAACTTGATGGATTATTTGAATTGGCTGTTGCAGGAGCTTGACTAGTAAATGGAGATTGTCTAGAACTTGAAGGACTAGCATAAGTCCCTGGTATGATATCTTCAGTCTTGAGCCAATCTCCATATTGCCCCTCTTTCAGAGCTTGATTTTTGATGTCTTCAAGCCTTTTCTTGCAGCTTTTGTCCAGATGTCCAATGACTCCACAGTAATAGCAAAGACTTACCAGCCTCTCATATTGAAACCCCATTGTAGCAATTTGATCCCCCAGCCTAATATTGGTGCATCTTGGTAGTGGTTCACCGAGGTTGATAGAAACCAGAAGCTTTAACATCTTACCACCATGGGGGCTTATGTTTTGAACTAGAACATTCTTGACATCCGGGAATGCCTTCCCTATTTTAAGCCCAACTTCAGCACTAAGCCAGTCAAGGGGAAGGTTTGTTACCTGTGCCCAGAGCAGCAACTCATTGAATCCCTTATGCAAGCTATTTAGCCCTTGCTCCCATTCACGGAGAATCAAATATTGGTTGTCATAAATCCAGTTGGTACCGCTTACAACTTTTTCCAAATCTTCCCTATTTTGGAAGATGAACTGAAAATAATTAGGTTCCAGCTCCTTAATGTCCATTGGTTTTTGCAGCTTCCATATATTATTCATCGTCCTCTTTATACCAATCCAGCTGGCACGGCGGTCACCTATCACCTTTCCGAACAGACTACGTTGGCATTCTTCTGCACTTCGCCGGATATCAACTTGCTCGATGTCTGTGACTAAGGCCTCAGCTGCCGACAAAGAAAATCCTTTGAGACGATTAGCTAGGTCATCCTCATTGCCCTTATCTTGAGATTCACCCATGACAATCCACCGCAATTTCTCCAAATTCAAGGATTCACAGAAAATCCACACTTCAATCGGAATTTTTGGTACGGTCCCAAACGGGATAATCGCCAGAACGGTCCCAAACGGGATAATGGCTATTGATTCATATAAGTTAATGATTAAAAAAGGAATTATTTAGATGTCCTTATTTATTTAAACTATTTAGATGTCCTCATCTATTTAATTTTCCTAAATATTAAATGCAATAATAATGATATAATTATTATTTATGAAATGGCTTAATTTATTTAATATAATTTTAATTAATGAAGATAATAATTATTAAGATGTTAAATTGAACTCAAAATAACAGTCCAATTTTCCCAAGCCAGATAAAAGGTTCAAGACCCTACGATGTTTTAATTCTTCATCCAAGCAATAAGAATCTTAATTTTTATCAGTTTTCTAGTCCTATTGTTCAAGAGTTCTTATTGTTTACAGTATCAAATCCCAACATTACAAAACTCTCCCCTCTATCTCTCATCTCTCGGCACTCTCTCTCTCTTTATACCTCTCACGCCCGAACTCCCTCTCTTCTCTCCCTTTCTTCTCTCTCTCTCTCTCACGTTTTTATTTTTTTTTCTTTTTGTCGCCTCCACCGATCATCATCATCACGGCCTTCATCATCGATCACCATCTCCATCGTCCCAGCAACCCTCCGAACAAGCAGCCATCATCGTCTACGTGAGCAGCTCCACCGCGTATCATCGTCTTCGAAGAAGCAGGCCACCACCAGTTGCAGCAGCCACCATCATCGTCCCATAGCAGCGAACAGCAGCCCATCTCCGCCGCCCCCTTCGCGCGCAGCCACCGTGAACGAGTAGCAGTGCCTCCATCGTCATCGTCGAGCAGCCACCGCGAGTTGCCCTTCATCGCAGCCGTCTCCATCATCGTTCCCACAGCAAGCCACCATCATCCACGACCAGCACCACCTTCGACCATCGTGGAGTCTCAACGAGCAGGCTGACCACATTCACGACAAGCGAGCAACCCCCACGTACACGGCCGAGTTCACCGAGCCCTCATTCGAGCCCCTTTCGAGCCATTACTGTTACCTTTCTATCCGAGCGGTAAACCCTAAAGCCTTAACCTCTTATGGACTGTTATTTCAAGTTCGAATAATCATGAACAAATTATTAATGTGTTCAAGTAGATAATTGAACCTCTTACGCTTGCTTAAGTCGAGTAATTGTTGAGTTACCGTTGAGTTAGAATTGGTCGGAGCCTTGCCGGGCTTCCGAAAGAATTGATTGAATGATATGTGAATAGGGTTAATTGTTATCAATTTATGTGTTCATAATCGTGCCTTAGTATGTGATAAACGTGCCTAAAATCGATCCTTTAAGTTGCTTTCGAGATATTATGATGTTCGGAAACAAGTGTCATGATCGCATGTGAATTGCTGTTTTTGTGCTGTCTGTTCGGAAGAACTTTAGGCCCCTGAGACTGTGTTTTCGGCTTTAGAGTTCTTCATATGATATGTAGTTCGTTCAGTTGTGTTTACGTGAGCTTTGGAATAGTGCAATTTCTACTTAAAACGAATAAGTTATGATTTTTACAAAATTGTTGCGCGAGCAGTTTTTCTTAAATCTGGCTGCAGTTAGGTTTGGATGTTTTGTGTGTTTATGATATGATAATATGCTCAAATGAACCTGAAGTCTGCATTGAAATTGTAGTTCTATGTGTTATCTTTCATGTGGTTCTGGAATCAAGCAAAAATATGGTCCGAGTAGTGAATGATACCTGTTTTCGTAAAACTGCACATGAATTTATTTTAAATTTCTGGACAGCATTTCAGCTTTGAATGTTTGCTGGTTTTGGACCATGTATATGACCTTATTTGCTTTGGAGTCCTAAAAGAAAGTTGTAGTACCATGTCTTAGGAGCAATATGAGACTTGAATCATGTTAATGCGACTTGTACGTTGAAATATATGCTCGTTTTAAAAATGCAGCGCGTGTTAAGTTTTGTCAAAGGACTAAGTGTAATTGTTTAAGTGAGTCTTATGTTTATTAAGCATTGCTTATGTGACATGAATGAGCTGTAAAGCATTGAATGAGATCATGAAGAACCTAAGATGATTAAAAGGTGTCCTTAAAAAAGCAAGCTAAGAGTTCAATTGTCCAAATGCTTTTAGTAAGAATATGTTCAAAAGAATGCAAGCAAGGCGAAGCCAAGCGAGCAAAGTTTTTCTAAAGCTTATGTATGATTATAAGTATAAGTATAAGTATAAGAATAAGTTCCATGTTAAGACGCTAAGACATGACCCCAATGAATATAGTTTTACGAGGAGTCGAGCCCTCGAGTTTTCGTTAAAAGTCAGGTTCAAGTCTAAGCCGAGCATTCTACTGAAAAGGTGGGGGAAGTTCTACTTTATTAATCCTCTTTAATTATCTATGCTATGAATGAAGTTAAGTAGCTTGCATAGTACCCATGTTTATACAATGTTCCAACATTCGAGGAAGTCGTTTGTTGCAGTACCAAGGTTCACGGACTATAACTCTAGAGGATAGCTAAGTGCTAGGGTTAGAGGGTTTAAGTGGTTATGTGTAACCTTCGTTGGTGCACTCTTCGAACGGTTGTCCCCGTCGATAAAACTGTACGGAGCTTAGTGAAAGGCTATCTTCCTTCAACCTATTAAAAGGTACTCTCATCAAGCCTATTTGGTCGTGCCATCTGCGAGAGGTATTGTTCTTCCACCACCATAAAGTGGTATAAGAAGTTTGATGAGTGGTGGGAGTGTGACAAGAATGTAATCGCCTGCATGCAAAGACTCTAGCGTTTAGTTGTCTAATAGTGTTGTAGAAGAAAGAAAGTCTTTCGACTTGTGGGTCGCCACTCGTCAGGAGCACATGACTATGTGGAGTGTACAAAAATGATTTCATGCTTTATAGTTGATTAGGATGATAACGTAGAGGGATCTCTCATGGAGTAAGTGGAAATGCTCACCCCATTTGTTTTCCACACCCAGGTTTTGGCGAGCTGGCAATGGAGCGATGGCGAGGGTGGTCACATGTTTTAATGTTTATGATATTCATCTTTTAAAAGCTTCCGCTATGCAAAGTTTATTTTATGAAATAAGTCATGGTTCATGCAAGTCAAGTTAAAGTGTAAGTTCTCAATGCCATGTTCCATGTTCATGTTCAGGAAAAGTTCACGTATGAAATGTTTATGTTCATGAAAAGTTTTATGGTTATGAAAGCATTATGTATGAACGTTTTTCAAAGTAAGTAGCACCGTGAGTTCCAAGTAAAGTTTTCAAAAGTTTTATAAAAAGAAAAATTTATTCTAGAAATTCAATGTACGAAAAGCGGGGTGTTACAGTCTCATTCCTACTCATGCAAAACCTCATAAGTAGTTTCATTGCTACTCATGTAAAACATCACATGTAGTTTCATTGCTACTCATGCAACGCATCACAAGTAGTTTCATTGGTACTCGTGCAAAATCACAATTCACATTATAAGTATTTTCATTGATACTTATATAAAACATACCTTAAGCCGTGCGGCGTGACGAAGACGAGTGGTCGAACACAAGGGTCACAATCACATAATTACATATATATGAAATTTCACACATAGAGCAGTCTATAGAAACGCAGACTGGCTCTGATACCAAACTGTAACACCCCACTTTGTGTTTAAAGAAATTCCGGACTTTCTAAAAATCATAACAAATTTTTCGAATTCATTTTCGAAATCAAGGACATTAACCAACACATTTTTACTTAGTCCAAGTCTTATCTGGACCCACGGGGATTTATAACCCCAATTTTCACAAGGTTTTCATTAACCTGATTCACACCTCATCATAATATCCAAGATGAACAATTGAAACCTCACAAATCAAACATCATGATTATTCAAGTTCATAAAAGGGTTTTCCAAAATATTCCCAAACATCAAAACATAGTTCAAAAACAGTTTTCACATGTTCAAAACATAGCAAGGTTCATAACAACCATATTATTAAAGCAGAAGCAAAACGAAACAAATATTAGACCACCACTCGTCCTTTGTCCCGTCACCCGGCCACTGCTTAACCTGCATCCGTGAAGAGCAGGTGAGAATGAGCGCAAATGATAAAGTAGTGCTCACTACTATGCACATAATAACATGTAAAGATGGTATGGTCGCAGCATGAATATAAATCAATCATCATCATGTCTCATCTCCTAACAATCACAACAATAACTCACTCATGTGCACATCTATCATTAGCTGCGGAAAGGGGATGCATAAACCCTAACGACGGGAGTGCGTGCCACTGTAACGGACATAACCTTTCATTAGGTCTTAAGGAGACATGCCTCGCAAGGGCAACCACACCGTAACTCGACGGGGACAACCGTACTGACGGCCGTAACAGCTCACATCGGTAGGCCACATGGTTCACATTCATATATTGGTCATACCAACTAAACAATAAACAACACGTATGGCATAGACAATTTTATAAGTAAACTCACCTGGATACCGAGATGCTAAACACAGAGTTGAAGGAATTATGGCAAAAGTTCAG